AAAAAAAAAAAAAAAAAAAAAAAAAATTGACAACCCAACCCGAACCCGAACCCGAAAATAGAAGGTTGGGTTGGGTTGGGTTGTGAAAAGTTTTGGGTTGGGTTACCAATCCAACCAACCCGAACTTTTGGGTTGGGTCAAAAAAATCCCTCAACCCAGACCATGTACACGAAGCACTTCCACTTCTTTTGTTGAATCCCCCAACCCAACACAACCCAACCCAGACAATAACATGCCAATGAAGCACTTAACGTGCCATCTCATAGGTTGTTTGTTTTGCACTTAAGTCCGTAGCTAACATATATTGTTTGTTTTAGGCCGCTACATATCGTTGTCAGCCTCACAGTTTTAAAACGTGTTTGTGTCTACTAGAGAGAGGTTTTCGCACCCTTATAATGAATTATTTGTTCCACTCTCTAACTAACGTGAGATCTCATAATCCACCCCCTAGGGCAAGTCTGGCTTTGATACCATTTGTAACCGCCCAATCCCACTGCTAGCAGATATTTTCCGCTTTAGCTCATTAGCTCATTACATATCACTGTCAGCCTCACGATTTCAATATATGTATACTAGGGAGAGGTTTCCACCGATGTTTGGCTTCGATACCATTTGTAACCCTCCAAGCCCACCGCTAGAAGATATTGTTCTCTCTAGCCCTTCCACTCTCCAACCAATGTGGGATCTCACAATCCACCCCCCTTGGGGCCCAACGTCTTCGTTCGCACACTGCTTAATGTCTGGCTTTGATACCATTTGTAACCGCCCAAGCCCACTACTAGCAAATATTTTCTGCTTTACCTCGTTATATATCGCTCTCAACCTCACAATTTTAATATATGTATACTATGAAGAGGTTTCCACCGCCCGATGTTTGACTTTGATACCATTTGTAACCGTCCAAGCCCACTGCTAGCAGATATTGTCCGCTCTAGCTCGTTGCGTATCACCATCAACCTCAAATTTTAATACCCGTATACTATGGAAATGTTTCCACACCCTTGTAAGAAATACTTCGTTCCCTTCTCCAACTTATACGATATCTCACATAAATAGAGTAGGTGACATAGCAATGACCTTTTTTAAGGTTGTGTTATTGATATAAACTAGAAACAATAATTCAAAATTAGCGACAGTACAGTCAACAATCAACGGAGTATAGCCAAAACTAGTTTAGACATATTTGAATCCTGTAACTCCACTTACAACGTGCTATAGTCAATTCAGCTCAAACCATCCTTTAGTTAACAATCTAAATAGCAGCCAATTCAGCACAAGCTCTTGAACATACATCAATTTTAGATATGAATAGACATATGAACAAGCAAAACAGGTAAATAATAACATTCAGAGAAGGAGATTGAACCTGCTATCTCTTAGCATCCTCCAATTTCTTTTTATACAACTTCAACAATCTAGGAATCAGCTCCTTATGAGGGTCGATGAATTTGACTAAGAATCGGCTTTCAGTAGACTCAAACAGCAAAGGAAGATTCACATCTTTCTTAATCAAACCCTTTGACAGCAAAACTTGATAAACCCAGCCTCTTGGCTCAATCCTCTTCTTTAAACTAAGTGTAATCAGAGCAGGTCGCTTTGCAACGTATGAAGGTTCACATCCAATCTTGTTCACAAAGAAATCCATTACGCCATTGATCTTGTCCTCGGAAGCCATCATACACCATGGATGCCTTCGAAATGCGAAGAGAATCTCTTCTTCAGGCCATCCCCATTTCTTGTAAACTTCAACTTTTTTTCTCCATGTAGATTTGCTCATTGCTCGCAATGCAAAAACAGCAAGAACAA